TTAGATTATTCGTTTAATTTATACGCAAAAACGTTATTAAACCGCTAGCAATTGTTATTAGAAACTCAAAATATCAACTTTTTTGAAATGTTTGAAATGGCAATTTTTGGATTCTCTAGAAATTATGTACTAATACCTTAAATGATAAATAAAGGTATATGTGAATTGACTATAAGAATTTCTGCAAAAAATATACTCTAATTTTGATGCCAACGTTCTCCGCATGCCATCAAATCGATCACGTTTGAATCTCGCTTAATTTATTGGATTTTAGGAGAAAATACAAACTACACAAAAATGCAAAGTTACAAATCATAAGTATCTTTTCCAAAAATAATGGCTAAAACGCGTTTCCTATATTCTTAATGAGCATGATATTTTCATTTCAAGTGCAATTATTTACAAAACCATACAGATGATCCTTTAGTGCAGTGATGTCACAAATCTAAAATGTGAGATTCAAGCGCGAGCTGGATAAATTGTATCTTTTAAATCCTAGAATTAGAACTTATTAAAATGGGCGTGTGGATAGTTTTATGAAGATACGAAACAACATATCTCTCTCAATAAAACTATATTCATATCTATGTTATATGAATATACTTTTATCTAGCAGTTCAATTATATTATATATATTGTAAATATACGGAGAAATGATTTAATATGTTTTATGTATATTATTAAATTTTTTGTGAATTTTTAATTTTTAATATTTTTTTAGTTTCAGCAATACATTTGCGCTTCTCCTATGATTTCGTTTATTTGATATGTCCGAGCTCATTTAAAGAGCTTTCGCGCAGAGACGATTTCGATAGAAAAAACACAGCAACTTTTCTGACAATGTACGCAAAATTATTGATAAATTTAGGAAAGAAGTAGAAATACCCAATTCTAATTACATCCAATAAGTAATTTACCACACACTTATTTAAATTGATTCAAAGTTACATGTTGGTTTCGAGTGCAAAATTTTAAATGTAGAAGGAAACAATATTTAATAGTTTTGCGTTCATTGTCACATATCTACAGAATCTATATTTCGCAACATTTTGAAATCTATTCACTTGTTTGCTATTTATGTTAAGATATATATTAATTATTAATATGCAGCAATGCTATATAATACTCAATCGCAATAACGGATTTTTGTAATTGGAAGCACTATTTGAGGAATAAAAATTATGCAACGTTTTTTATAATAAAGTTGATCATAAAATACAGTGGTACCCCGGGTTACGAGCTTAATTCGTTCGTTAATTCGTACGTATCTCGAAGCAATTTTTCCATATAAATACATTAAAATGCTATTAATTCGTTCCAGCACAGTGCTAAGATGAAATACATATTCTGCAAAAACATAGCAAATTTCTAAATAAAAAATGTCTAAATTATCATTATACTAGATTTTGAGTTTAAAAAAATCTATACAATGAGCATTATTTTCTTCAACTCATTATAGTATTGCGAAAATGAGCTGGACATGTCTCTTCAAACAACTCTGATGCTTGACCAGATGCATCTTTTTGAGGTAATTTTTATTCATTGCACAAACAAATGCATAAAATGTAATAAATTAATGAACTGATTGTTTTAACTTCAAAATAATTTACTTTTAACATTTGTATGAGAGTTAAATTGCGACTTCATATACTGAAATCCGCGTTGCAATTGCTAATAGATGTATCTGTTTCATTCGCACCACCGTAAGTTTACGTTATGCCTCTCACTCGGACGCTCTCGAATACGTTATGAGCATTTCGCTGCTTTGTGATACGAGCGGCATCGCTTCGCAGCTCGTATTACGAATTTTGCTCGTATAAAGATGCAAACGAGCCGCGCGTTTCGCTCGTAAGACGGGGTACCGCTGTATATGCAAATACATACCATTATAATAATATTAAATACACAATACCAATATTTTATGATTTATAATAAATGGTTTGTAGCAAAAAGTTGATAGAAATAATGAGCATTTTCAAATATTTGATAGACGGTCGTGGATGTTATAAAGTAATCATGTGGATGCAAATAAGCAAACACGTTCTGACCGAATAGTGAAAGATTTTTAAAAATACTCAATATAAGAATATCAAATAAATATCATTTTTTCTTATTAATTCGAATTCCAATCATCCGTTAAAGTGACAAGCACATGCAATTGATATATTTAAGTACTTGTATCGATTAAATTTTAGCGGTCGAACAATCAGAAGGCACAAAACAGAATATTATTAATAACTTTTTCATAATGTATAACAGTGATATTATCATAGTTAAACTTTTTCAATAGACACGTAAATGCATCAGAGCTTATTTTTATATCATATTTATATATTCGGAGGAGGGAGGTATTTCGGATTGATATCAGGAATTTTATTTTGGGATCTGATGGAATGAAATCACCAGCCTAAAAGTAGAAGTAAATTATTAACACCGATATTATAATGATTTGAAAGTATTTTTTGCAATATGTCATTTAAGATAAATTTTATCAGTGATATTGTCTTATTTCACTTATTTACACAAGTTGAACAGCACATGCACGTAAGTACATACTAAATATACTGAAACAAAACTCTCAAATGGTATGTTGTATTTAAAATTAATATATTAGTTTGAACATACTAGGTAATGCAATACCAGAATACCGGTATACCAGTATACCAAAATACCAGTATAGCAAAATACCGCTATACCGCCCGATTTTTCGGCGCTATTAATACCGGTATTTACCCTAAAAATACCGGTATTTTCGGTATTTTTACATATGCGCTAGTTGATACATATCACATTTGAGTTTAAATTTCTCGGATCGAATTTATTTTTAAATTCCATAATCGCATAGACAGATATATCTTTAAGTGGTTCTATGATATATTTTTTTATTTGTTCTAGTTACTTTCAATTTTGTTTACATTTGTTTAAGATAATAAAAATACCGGTATTTCACCGGTATTACCGGTTTTGAAATGAGAAATTACCGAAAAACCGGTATTAATTTTTTTTATCGGTATTGCATTCCCTAGAACGTACTATTTTGAAACCGAAATGAAGATTCTTGGTTAAGTAGAAACCAGCTTAAATTGTATAAAAATTATCTCTTCAGAATATTTTTAGAGCAGACTTATGTAAATACGTGCATGTTTATAAAAAGCAAGCAATGATTAAATGTTAAGCATAAAAACTTGAGAACTATGCACTTATAGCATTTTCGGAAATATAAGTAGTATTTCAGATATATCATAGGTTTTATTTTTATTCACATTGATAACGCAATAAGCCAAGACTAAAGTGTACTCTGTTACTGATGCTGCACCTTGGGACAAAACCCAAAATGTATTTATTTAAAAAATTGCTAAATATATTTATTATTTATCAATAATATAAAAAATGGCCGATGAAGTGTATATGCAGCAATCAGTAAGAAGAGTACGTTTTCTAAATTGCTTTTTGAATATGTTGAGGTAGTAGAAGGATAAAAAGCCAGGCCATTGTTTAATGTTGACTACCCAGATTACATTTAAATTGTTAGTATGAGATTAACCGAAAGTTACAAATTAAATACACAGAAAAATTTATTAATAAATCATGCCCACCACAAGTCCAAAAACTCGATCTGTAACTGATTTTAATTCGAGTTGTTGAAAATTTGGTATTGTCATATTTTTTAAAAATTATAAAATATTTCTGTTTAGTCCAACTCTTCAGTTATTAGAGAAAATTCCGATTAATAACGAACATATTTACTTTATTCCTAATTTCGAAATTGTCTATCTATTGTCATATTTTTGATGATATTTAAAATTTTAATTGTCATCACATACCCAATATGACAATGTCTCTCAAGTAATATTTCATAATTTATTCGAATCAGTTCAGATTTTTTATAAATAGTTTCCATTAAAATAATACACACTTATAACAATTTTAATTACCAACTATGCCGCAAGATTGTTTTAAATATTTATTAAATGTGATATAAGAATATGCATAGAATAAGACTAAAGGACGAAGCTGGTGGGGGGAGGATATTGGTATCACTGAGGGAAACGCTTCGCAGTCTGGCCAACAAACAACGACGAGCGCGCGCGTATTTTAAACTTTTTTTTACAAACAACTAAACCGTTCGGTTACCTTATATAGTCCTGATGGTTATTACACACTATTCGATAAACAATGAACATTATCGATTCGATAACTTATAATTTTTTTCTTTTTCATTATTATCATAATATTTGGTAGGTATGTACAAAGTGACCGACGAGCGATGTACAAAAAAAGAACAGATCGCACGCCGGACAAAACGCGTCAACAGACAACTTTGCTTTTTTATTTTCAATTTAAATCACATCATTTGTAATATATCAATATAATAGTTTCCGTATCAATAAAAAACGGATCGAGAAACAATTGTGAAATCCTATGTGTTTGTGTGAGTTTTGTATGTGTTTAGAGACAGGGGTATAACAATTTTTTGTTCGGGCATATATACCGGCGAGGAAGATAATGGACGCAGTTCTTGGATTATCTTAATACGCTATAATAATATACATTACTAATAATAATTAATTTGTGCCCATTTGCTTGTTATGAATATTTAACACATTATCAAAATTGTAAATGCTACAGTTTTTATAATACTTCAAATGATTTTTAGAAGCAACTTATGTGACCCCACATTTAACACAAATAGTATCCGAAATTCTTATAGCGAACTATATGATTCATAAAAATTACTTTTTTATAGCAATACAATAAAAATATGGTTCATCCTAAAAATGGTAATTGATATTTTATCCATATATAATGTCATAAAAAACTGCTTTGCGCTATCAAAAATATGAGTAGGCAAATGCGTTTAGTGTATTAATAACAATCCAACAACCGAAGTATTTAGCACCCTTGCCATAGCATCAAACATCAACGAATTGCTTCTTATAAATCTAATAAGATATCAACAACCACCGCCATCATCGTTCAACGGCCAGACCGCTCGCGGGTTATTTACCTCCGAGACCGAATTTCATAAAAATCAACTCTTTGCCCTTTGATAATATATCACCGCCAGGTGCTGTAATTTCTGTAAACTTTTGCATTAGATTTGGACCTCCTGGTTGCTGGTTCGCACCGCCCATTTGTTGCTGTTGCTGATGATTTGCACCCATACCGAAACCTTGTTGAGTACTTTGACCCATTTGTTGACCTCCCATAGGACCAGCCCCCATACCCGTAGGTATAACGGGTGGTCCTTTGTGCCTCTGTTGATTCGTCTGTTGACTACTACCGAACATGCCACCGGTACTACTGGATCCAAATAATCCTCCCATTGTTGACTGTTGGGTATTCGATTGTTGATTTTGTTGCTGTTGCATGGTTTGTTGGTTTTGCTGCTGGTTGCTAGAAGATCCGCCTCCAAATAAGTTGGAAGCAGCGCTGAATATCGACGTCGATTGCTGCGCAGGCTGTTGCTGCTGGTTAGTCTGCTGCGTGGTATTACCACCTCTCTGCATGAGACCGCCTCTCTGTCTCTGTGGTAAGTGTTAGTATTAGATAATTATTAAATTCTAACCGAAGATATCTAGATAGACGACATTTTTCTCAACTATGTTTGAAAAAACCATTCTTAGTCTACCATGAATGCATAATTTACTGCTTATGGAAACATGGATAGTAAAAAATTGTTGTGAAATAAGTAATTTTAATAAACCTGGATGTCTTTAGTTTTAAAATTACTGATGAAAGCTTTGTATTATTTTTGCGATTTTTATATTTGAGATAATTAATAAGTAGGTATATGTTCAGAAGGACACTAAATAAGTTCTGTATGCATTATTATACATGATGTATAATGCAATGTAGTCTATTAATATTCAATGAATTATGAAAATAGGTATAGGTAAATCATTTAAGGCAGTAAATTATGCCGAATGGTATACAAAAGTATTTGTCGCATATTGCATCTACTATTAATCTAAAATATATGGATTGAAATTAAGTTTTTATTCTCTAGAAGAACTGTTTCCATAATAGTCGATATCGATGAAAAAATGAGTACTAAGAACAACGACTATCAACATTGTAATCATTCATCATTTTGGTCGTCCTATCAATGATAATATTATACTATCAAATATACCTAGGTATATTTATTGCGTCATATCATCTATATTCTATGTAATATTTTCAGGGCAGTTTCGTTAAGATATTGGATGCTGCCCTGAGAAGCTTCGAAACAAAACACAGGCCTTCTTGATAAGTTGTACAATGAAACTACATATTGGAACAATGTTATTCTATCAAACATCAACTATTATTTTGTAACCAAATAACAAACTTCAATAACAGACTATAAAATTTTAACAATACTTGATGTTTGAATATACCTTAGGCTATATAATAGCCAACTAGCTATAAACCAAGAAAAATAGACACCGCTATATTATATATTATATACAAACAGTTAAGGACACTACGATCAAACATTTATATATAGAACAACCATTCCAGGAAGAGACAACTAATATAATAACAGAAATAATAAATAACAATAGGCTAGATGCAGTTGTAAAAGTGTCATTGACTTGTTAAAATTGGTTTTAACAAGTGCATGATTTAGGATATACAATGCTACACCACATCGAAACACATGATGGTGAGAGTATAGGGTTAGTTTTAGATACTCATGTTAATCAATTTTGGATTGTATATATTTATCAGTTTTGAAAAATTATAGGGTTATACTATATGTAAATATAAGATAGAACATTCAAAACTGATAGTATTTGTGTGAGTATAAATATTTTGGAGTTGGTCGTGACAACTTTGTACCTGGTGAGGAGTGAATAAACTGTTCTAAAAATGGTAATATGTAGGTAAAATAGCATTTAAATTGCTATTATATCTATTAAAATTGTATAAAAATCCAAATATAGTAAATACATAAATTTCATTAATGACTAAAAAAACATGCATTTTTTATTCTGCCAAAAGGTTTCAATTTAGGTAAAAGCGAATTTAGTTATCAATCTATCCGATTTAACGAAAGAGATATAAAAATAGTAAATTAATAAAACTACGAGGTACTTCTAATATTGGAGCGAATAACAAGTTCTCAGTTTACATATACAGTCGTGAATCAAGCCGAGGAATCTCTAAAGGGCAAGAGAATAAAAGGCGCTGTGTTTTGTATGTGTACTGTCGTGATGAAAGTTTCAGGAGTATGATACAAAAATGCCCGGGAAACTTAATCGATTATGTTTTGAAAACGATGTATTTGTGGCTTTTGTGGAGATTTTTAGAGTTATTTACCTGTTGGAAGTCAGAGCCGGCGGTTGAACTAGAGTTGTTCTCTAACTGTGTTACGGGAGGAGTGGTGGGGCAGGCATCTAGCAAACAGACAACAGTCAGACGACGGTGATAGAATAGAGAAAATAGAGAAAAATAAGGAAAATAAATTAATTTAATACAGAGGAAACTCGGTATGTCCGATATTATAAGCAAATCAAGCAACTGTGAAACAATTCAAACAATCGGGCTATGAACCAACACGCGATCCTTTAAAAATTAACTCGGGATAGTGCACCACGGATATAACCGAGTTTCCCTTATATGCAAATTACTGAACTTATATATACAGTTAATAAATACAAATGCACAATTTATAAAATTTATAATATATAAAGACTAAGAGCGATAGAAACGACATGACACGCATCCGTTTAAGAAATAGTCTTAAAGCTAACGGTTAGCTGTAGCACTTATGCCTGTCCAAGCAAGATTGAGACTCCCACTATTTATCTGCCTTTGTAAAGGAAACAATTTTATGGATTTATCTCGACTTAAGGTGAAGTATTTTTGAGTCTATTATTTGCCAACTCTCCTTGTAAAATAAACCGTAACATAGGGACCGATTCTGCCGCATAACAGACCAATGTTATGGCAAGGCTATGTTATGAAGAACTTTCCATACAAATCCATTTTAAATATCGATAAAAGCCATGTGGTTGCTGTAAATCAGGCAAAACAAATCGTAGAAACAGCACAAATGTCAAAAAAACGATGTTAGATAACAGGGTCTTTCTGACTCAGGTTCATAACATACGAGTGACGTTGCAGTTTATGTATACAACGCCTGAATGCACAGCAAATACATGGCATTTTGACAGTATTCAGTACGATTCAGTAGCATAATGTATAGAAGTTGGAGCGTAACATGGCCTTGCCATAACATTTGTCTGTTATGCGGCAGAATCGTTCTCGGTTATTATGGAATCGGTTGTTATGGCGATGCAATGTTACGCTCCTTTCTTGGTACTAAAAACTATCAAAATGCTATGTATTTGCTATATCATCAGACGATTTAGATATAAAACCTATCCTAGAAAACGCACAAACGTCAGAATGTTATCATTACTGCATCTGTATAATGCGCATTTATAATGATTCATGTGTAAAACACCTAATCGCATAGCAAGTAGATAGCATTTTAATAGTTTTTAGTACTAAGAAAGGAGCGTAACATAGAGTTGCCATAAGAACGCTATGTTTCGTTCTATTCTACCGGAGAATTGGCCCGTAAGTATCTAAGAATAAGTTGGTATAATGAAAATTGTTAAAAAAATGTTCTTAAAATCATTGAAGATATACTTTCAAGTTATAACTTTGTCCCAGAATAGATTTTCCCTTTGGAGCGAATTTCATTACACATAATGCACTTCATTATTGATAAACACATGTCGTAATATCTGTATTTTCCATAAATTATAATGAACAAGTCTAAGCGATCAATTTCCGGATAAAATAGAAAGATTGTGGTAATGCTTTGTTACGGATCTTCCTTCGTATAAGTTGGTAGTAATGATTTGTCAAAAAGGTATGTATAAAACCTAACTTCACGTATATGTTATCGAAGAGTCACGAAAAATTTGCACTTATGATAAAACTTTTATTTGATGTTAGTGCGTTTTGGAGACTAGGTTTTATGTGTAAAACGCCTGATCACACAACAAATACATAGCTTTTTGTAGGTTTGTTACCATCAACTCCTAAAAAACTTAGACCCGTAACATAACATACAAATTTTATCCGAGAATTGGCTCTTAAGTCCCAATCCTTATGTTGGAATAAAATATTTGTTTTAAAATCCGTCGAGATAAATCCATCATAAATCGTTTACATGAGATTTTATAAATGGCACGGACGTGTCTTGGTTGGTAATGTCGTGTTTTGTGTTTAGTGAAGACCAAGAGAAAATCTTGGCAGAGCACATCTAGCACATAGAAAGCCCAGAATAGCTGTGAAGAAAAATGTAGGTGTTCGTACGCAGACAACGGAAATGGAGGAAAAAATATTTGAACCACATGAATGTATATAAAATAATAAAACTTTACGTTTTTAGTTTAATATCGTTTAATATAAAATATTTAATTCCGAATCTATGTATATATTTTTAAGCAAGGGGTTTATTAGTAAAAAATAGTAGTTCTTTATACTAGTCATGTGGCACAGAGAAGTGAAATATATTGGAACATTTAGAAGGATAGAGGATATTAGCCTGAAAAAGAAGGATTTTTAAAACACGTGTTACATCGAAAAAGCAATGATAGTGCATTGCGCAAACATATTAGTATCAAAAATTTGTTCAAATTTAAATATGATTATATGTCCTTATACGACGTTAAAAATTCAAATGTATCTAAAATGTTATTAGCGTTATGGATTGGTCTAAGAATTTGAAACAGAGATTTTAAAATGTATAAATTGGTACTTCATAAGAATTTTTCTGATATGTGTGATTTTAGCATGTAGATAAATATAGTAGTAATACCAAAAGATTTTATTACAAAGATAGAAGCATAGACATGTAAATATATATGCAGCTGACTTAAAATCGAATGTATAATTGCTCTACATAAATTTAATTCAAAAAGTAAACCAATAACATTTAAAAGTTTTCACACATATATTATTTATAATAATGACATTGAACGTTGCTTTTGATATGTACCAGGAAAAAATATAAATAGCAGACATTGTTTCACATAAGTTTATTAATTATGATTTAGAATTGATTTATGAGTAATTTTTTTTTTTTCTAGCACATTTCAAATAGCAAACGTATATCAAACCGCACACCGACACACATACACAGATACAAATCAATATGACCGATCATACAAAAAAATATAAGCACCAGGACTCACCTTTACGTGTAGCTCCGGGCGTTCGTGGGGCATTCATGTTGTCCCGCGGCGGAGGCGGCGGTCCGCGGGCTCCGGGCCCCAGACCGCGCGTTTGCCGTGTTGATCCCGTACCACGGTTTAATTGAGAACCGCCTAGAAATAAATTATAAAAGTAAGTATTGCATTTGTTATAATTAAATTTTTAAAGTAAAACTTCTTTAGGCGCGACTAGAGAGTAAATCTGTGCAAATGCAACGGAAGTTGCGTTACGCCCGAATTGTACGTCATTCGCTCTCGATAAAATCATTTCTATGCGGGTCGATGGTGATTAGTCATCGTGTATGTGAATAGAGATCTGTCGTTGTATGCGTACCGGCATCAATAAACAGATAAAAAAAAACATTTTAGAGTTACATCGTAGTACAAATCTTAATTTTAATGAAATTTTTAATGATTTTAATGAAAAATGGTGAATCAGAAGAATATTTGACAATAAAACAAATTAAATATTTGCGTCGTGTACTAAACGTAAGTTTATTGATTATAAATTATTTCTATATTATTCGTTTCTATAAATCTTTGAAGTTATTACAATGGAAAATATTTTTTAGGCAAGGCAGATATTACAGCTGTTCAAAGAATGAGATTATATCGCCAACACAAACGTAAAAAAATTCGAGCAGTCAATGAATGTATGTTAATTTTAATTACATGAAGTTCTTCAAACACAATTACATGATAAACGAAATTGTAAAAACAATATTTTTTTAAACGTTGTTTGATATAATCCACTGTGTGAACGAATATTATAAAATTTAAAAATCAGCAATTTCTTCATTCCTCTAATAAAGGTTCAAGTCCTAAATGCTAATTACAATGACAAACCGATCATGTCATATTTGAAGTATGACTTTAATTACATTATTGTTTTCAAATATTGATGATTATTTTTAATGCTATTATAAACATATAATTTATAATTTATTATAATATAAAATATGTTTAATGGCTGACATTAATAAATGTGTGCATCAAGAGTGTTATCATATTACTAATAAACATTATTCAAAATTGTTATATGATGTATTTATTGTTACTTAAATGCCATCTTGTACAGTAGCAAATAAGTTTTACTTCAATCGCGTGTGAACTGTACGCGCACTCTTTTTTAATATTTTTTAATATCTTTAAAATCAAGATAAGCTGGTGTCGTAAATTGACCGAGACAATCCCGAATTACCACCTTCTAATTAGAATTCATTATAGAATTTTGGATTATTTTAGAAGTAATATTTGCACCGAAATCAATTTTTCTTTTCTGGATTGTCTCAAGTTTTTGAAAAGTATGGCTTTAAATGATCTTTTCTAAACTTGTTGATTAAATTACAACAAGAATATGGTTAATAAAATTCGACAAGTGCATGTTCAAATAATTTCTACTTTAAAAATGTATATCTTTTTGTTAAGAATAATTCTATTTTTGTCATGTTGGTCGCATCAAGAGGCTATCTCTCTCAAATTATATTTCAAAAATTTTGTTATAACAAGAATATTATTAGTTTTGATTTATCCTTTAAAAACGGAGTTAAATATTGCAACAGTTATTCAATGAGAAATAATAATGTAATGAGATCAATTGATATCTTAAAATAGGTCATATTTATTTTAAATTTATTTATTTTAGGAAAATATAAAATTGTTTTCAAAATTATTATTATTACAAATTTTATAATAAAGTAATTCAACCAAATTATACATTATATTAGTACATTATATTAAATTATATATTATATAATGATGGATTGAAATAAATGTCTCAAATGATATAATTATTTCTACTTACCCGGATTTCCTTGTTGTTGTTGTTGACCAAGTTGGGTGCCATACTGATCTGCTGCTTCTGTTAAAAAGTTAGATGGCACCAGACCACGGTGTCCATCTAATTCCCCCATGTAAAAACCATCTTCATCCATATCACCATACACCAAGATAACGGCACCAGTTTGGAAACTTAACTCCACCTGCAGTAAACGCAAATTCGAATTGGGGTAGAGATTTATTTTTATAAATACTAAAATCTAATTTACCTACTACGGAAATTATATAAAGTAGTAGAAAGAAGTAGTTTAAAAAGATTTGTAAATGTTCTAGCAACTACTTGTAAGTACTACTTCAGCATAATTACTATAAAATAATTATTACAAATTATTAGATGGAATGTTCTTAATTTTTCTATAAAGATGTTAATAAATTTTTATTAGACACTCACATCGGCATCTACGTTTGGACTCAGCTCTTGAGGATCGTAGTCATACATAGCAACCATGCGTTTGACAGGCACGTTTGCATATATATCTCCCCAACGATCACGTGGTACACCTCGGACATTAGTCCCCGTGCCAACCTGGGCAGGTCCTGAACCGGTTGTGCCACTCTGGACAACTCCGGAAGAACCAACACCAGCAGCTCCCAAAGCTGCCATTGAACCTTCTTCCACTTCTGCTACCATATTGTGCGGAACGAAACCGGCTCGACCTCTAGCTTCGCCCCAATAGAATCCGTCAGCATCTTTGTCGCCCCAAACCTAAAATGTAATGGACTCATTAACGTTAATTGATACATTTATTTGATATAGAATTATAGTCATAATTTTGCAATTCTTATATTTATCGCGCACAACTACTACAGTTAATTGGTGTAAATGATATTAATCTTCTTATATATAAGGTTGTCAAATATCTCCCTTCCGCTTTTTTGCTCTTTATTCAAAAGAGCGAAAGGGAGAAATTTGACAACCTAATATAAAAATGAATCGCAAAATGTGTTTGTAAGCGCATAACTCAACAACGCCTGGCCAATTTTTTTTTTTTTTTTGAATATTCGTTGAAGTCCAAGGATGGTTCTAACGGCGAGAAAAAAAAAACAAATAATTGCCGGTAAAACCCTAAAAACAGCCTTTTCTTTTTCTCATAAAAACTTTTTCTAACTAAAACGTAGAATCAATTTGAGCTTTATTGCTATTATATAAACTTCATATTAAATTACAAGCACTCACAGTATACTCCTTTTAAACGATTATGCGAATTTTGATAAATCTTTCTGAAGTTTGTTAAGGAAATTTTCTAGGATGTATGTGATTATGAAGTACTAGGATGTATGTGCAATATTGTAGAAATAAATGGAAAAAACTGTAAAAAACGACATATCATTGTTTGCATTAAAAACAAATAAAAACTATCATCTGCCAAAAATTTCAATTTACTTATGAATCTAGACAATATTAGAATATGTAAAATAAATTTATGATTATGAATAAGAAAAATAAAATGTCTACATTATTATTGCCAAAAAGCAGCTGAGATGTGCCAAAAATTAAAATAATATGAAATACAGTAAATGTACGGCAAATTGAATAAAATATGAAATTAAGTATTAATCGGGGCTGGTCCTACCTTTAATGCAAAAAATACGAGCGCACGCCTTAGGGGGCGCCAACACAAGATATTAAATTTTCAATATCGTTTTTTTTTTAATATATAATTTCTTTGCACCTTTTACTAATCTTTCTACAATATATTTTAAATTCGTAAAAATTTCATTTTATAACAACAAATGGGAAAGTAAAGATGAATACATTCAATTCGACTTCAATTTCCAATATAGTGTGGGAATTGAGATTCATCATTTTATTTAAAGCAGTTCTACATTTACCATCGATCATATTATATATGTGTATGCATTTTGCCATGAAGAGTAATTTAAAAAACAATAATTATTATTCTTAGGTAAACGGTAATTTTAGTATATTATATTAAAAAATTGTAGACATAAGTACAGGACAACGTCTGTCGAGTCATCTAGTATTAAAATATAAATATTATTATCACTGACCTTTATAGTTTCACCTTCACTAAATGGCAGTTCCTCATCACATGCATCAGGATTGGGACTCATCGTTGTTGGATCGTAATCGAATAATGCAACAAACCTAAAAAATAATTTGTTTTTATAAGTACTAAATTTATGTTGTGGGTTCAAAAAAATTCATTAGTTTTATATTTAACGAATGGTCCTAATAATTACCATCTCGGGCGTTTATTGGCAGCTCCTTGTTGCATTCCTCTTCCTTGTTGTGGCCTGGTGTTAGTTGCTTGGCGTCCAACAGCAGTTTGTCCATAATAACCAGTTTGCGCAGTATTGCCTGGCTGATTACCCTGCAAAAAATCATTTAAACTAAATTGATAATCATTTGAAAATAAATTAATAAAAGTATGTAAAAAGTTTAGCCAATTATCTATTATTGAACAATTTGAAATTTTGTATTGCTGACCCCTCAAAGGACCAGCGCCAATACTCGTAGGTATGACGTAGGGTCCTTTGTACTTGATATAAAAAAAAATATCAAAAAATTGATAACTATATAAATATATATACTTATATACAAAAAACTAAGTTTCTCAAATATTCATTTATAAATTTTACATGCTTTATCATATTTTCAAGTTTCTATTACTACTTTCTATGACTACTCCATTCACTACGTTTAGTTTATATATGTTCAGTACATGATTTTGTCATATGTAAATTTTGATGTAATTTTGTGACATGGGTACGTTGATGCATTTCAATGAGTGGAAGCATGTTATTGCGTTTTGCCTTTGAAGCGTACCTGCTCCTTGCTATCTAACTTTCTATAAACCAACTTACTGATGTGGGATTAGGAGGCCTTCCACGTTCCGTGTGATTTCTTGGAGGCGGATTTTGGTATTGTCCAGACTGCTGTTGTGTTTGGCCACCTCTTCTTCTAGGATCCTGATATCATCTTCCGAGTAAGGCTGGTCCAGTCCCTGTTGGCCGTGCATCATGGCTTCTTTGTGATCTCGATGGCAGGTATTGATGAACCGTGTTGCTTTATGGCGGAAGTAATGAACATTATGATAGACTAAGCTAATCTACAGGGTATATTGCCATTCCAGGATGATATTGTTTGATTTGCATATTGCATAATATTAATTGAACCCATGTTTCTACGGCAAATTATATTCCAAATAATATTTAATATCAATTTTCAACATCAATAGGTTATTCATATTTAACATATTCAAGTTATATTTAGTTTAAAATTCTATAGTTTATTGAAATTATCGAACCATAATCTAGTTTTAAGCAAGCATACAAAAATCTAAAATACTAATCAATGCATGCTAAAGTAATAACAAAAATTTTATAAATATCGGGCCGAAGTGAAATTTAAATAAAATTTTCCAATAGTCAAAAATTTTTAAAATATATATATATATATATATATACATATATACATATATACATATATACATATATACATATATACATATATGCATATATGCATATATGCATCTATATATTGAAAAGGGCATATTGATAATCTTCAAAAATCATCTTTAAATTTAAGGATAAGAATATATAAGACCAAATGTATCAGAATAACTTTTTATGCTGTGACAAAAGATTATTATATAAATATTCAACAAAAAGGATGCACTAGATTAAATTAATTTCTTTTGATATATTACAATAAAATCCTTTTGTCAAAAATCGATTTCAAACTTAATTTCTCCATACCTGATGCATCGGAAAAATTTCTTTATCGCTGAGGTTCTCGTCATGTTCAATAACTTGCTGCTGTTGATGTTGCTGCATACCAGTACGCTGTTGCTGTTGCTGCTGATGTTGGCGCATATGAGGAGGCATTCCAGAATGTGGCGCCCTTTGTGCTCTGTTTGCTGCACTTGCTCGTACTACACCTACAGGTGGAACATATAATTATAAAATTAACCAGAGCATATCCAGGGATAGATGATAATACATTCAGAAAGGTGACGACATTTGAATCGTATGAAGTTATAGATTTTAGTTTCTAATAAATATATCAAGTAAATCTATGATCTGACCTGGTATAGGCGTAGGTGTGCTATCAGCAGATTGGCTATCGCGAGATTTGGTTCTAACAGTAACAGCTCTCGGATTCAGACCCATCAATTTACCGATATCTATCAGAGCATGGTCTCCAGTAGGTGAATCTACATCGGTAACTTTTTTGCCATCAGCATAAACTGCATAACCAGTCACTGGTCCGGAAGACGGCGGACGTGTTACAGGTTGCCATGTAACTAACCATGTACCATCCTGTGGGACCAGCTTCCACAGAATATCCTTCAGAAGAAAAATAAAATTAATTTTATTTGTAGTAAGATACGTATGTTGGCACAAAATTGAGAAGTAAATCAATAGTAAATATCAATCAATTTCGAAACTCACTTGAGGTGGGTCTGGCCCCCTTTAGCAAGCGTCCTAAAGTCTGTATAAGCTCCAGGAGCTTCTTCTGGTGGAGGCGCAGGTGGTGGTCCTTGACCTGTGCTCGTAAATGTTTTGCCTCGTACAGTGACCCGATATTGTGTACTTGGTGAGAGACCTTTTTATACGGACATAAAATATATTATACATCTTTGTTGGCCTATATGTGAATATAAATTTAGCATAAAGTTAAGAAAAGTAATAAGTATTTTGCTATTCAGTGGGGTT